TACAAACTGTGACTTTTCTTGGGAATTTGAATTCCATTGGGGGCAACTAATCACTGTCTTTTGTTTTTGTTTAAGTGCAAACAGCACAAGTTCTCAAAAAGCAAAATAAAACGTCCTCATTAAGCATTTGAAAAGCCAAGTCTCCTGAAGATGTTTTCACACTTGCTTAGTCCATTCATTGCCATTATATTATAAGAAAATTTTTGAAGGACTGTCACTTAATTCGTGAAATTCTTATATAATAGATATTCTCGTCATTTTTTATATTAATACAGGTCTCCCTCCAATTAAAGACCACTTTTGGGACCGGGGTTTTCAAGGTCTTTAGCAGCTTTGGTCTCTAATTAGAATAATGAAGATAAAAGACATTTGTTAATTTGGGACCACAGAAAAGTGGTCTTTAATTGGAGGTGGCCTTTCATTAGAAGGAGACCTGTATTATTCTTTATATTTGGCAACGCACTGAAAGTGGCGGTACACTAAATACAGATACATTTGAATATTGTATCCATTAATATTAATAATTTATGTCGCACGTATTGATAGTTTATTAAAACCCATGTTTTTAATGATTCATGAAGCACTTGCAGCGTAGTGTAATTAATTCCACCATGATGCATAACGGCAAGATCATTTAATTCCACTCAAGAAAACTCGCTGAAAAAATGGACAGAAAAGTTAATTGGGGTAAAAGTGTGATAAGTACAGATACATACCATATACTTACAATAGTATTCCGAAAATGGGTTATTATTCACACAGAATTTCTCGGGAATCAATTAACTAAACGAAGATTAATTGGCAAACACAAAGCCAGGGTGATTAACGACTAATTGAAATCGAGTTATTTTTAGATGTCTGCAGAGATGACTCGCTAAAGTTTTACTTTATAATAGTGTGAATAAATTACAAGGGAAAACTCATTTAAGTATAATATAGTATGTAGGCGTCTTTAATATAGGTTTACTTATTTTAATTAATTATTTAACTTATATCCGATTCTATAGAATAATCAGTTTATTTTGTTGATGACGATAGATGTCATGTGATTCGGTTGGTGAGTACTGTACTTTTGACACTAGATGAGTAACTTGGAGTCATAAAATCTATTCTGTTGACGGCGATAGACATGAGTAGTGGAATTAGGCTTTGCAAAAGAATAGACCTCCTTTAGGAAGATACCTGGCTGGATTAGTGAGGTTATGACTAATTCTTCTATATTACAAATTATCCAATAATAAAGAATTTACCTGGTATGGAGCATTACCTTACTATTGGCTTTGAGGAGGCGTCTTTAAGCTCATAATCCTCTGCAACAACGAATAAGAAAATGTCTACTAATGCAAATCCTTTTGGAAATATTATCTGTGTAGTAATGATGGTCGTGTGGAAAATGTTGCCCAATTTCTCTCCTCATCTCCACATCTTTAGGCCATGAGAATGACTTCACTTCAGATATACAATAACAAAAGATCGAATCTTCAAACTTCAAATGATCTGTTTTATAATAAATCTGTGATCTTTAATGATAAATTCTGTAATTAATCAGCTAAGAGGGCATACTGTGATTGAATAGTTTTTTTTCTTTTTAGTGTACTAGGCCTATGTTAATTTAGTTCAATGTGCTACTTTTCGTATATTGCTTTTCTGTCTTGCATCTAAATTTTAAAATCTATTTCAAAAGTCTTTTATATATATATATATATACTATACTATATGTTTTTATATATGTTTTGTTGATGTAATGAGAGCCTCTTTCAGTTAGTCTAGCTGCAAGAGCTCCCCTCGTAAACGAAAGATTTATATATATATATATATATTTATATATATATATATATATGCTGTAGAGTAAATTCACGCTTGACATAACCTTTCTATTATTATTATTATTATTATTATATATGCTTACGAATTAGCTAAACCTCAAAATAAATATCACCGGATTCATAACAGGAACAGGAATACGCTATATAAAAGCTTGTTGTCTGAATGCAAGGACACTGGACAATTTTTTTTAAAGCGCCAAATAAATTATCTAAAGGAAGAAAAAAAAAAGCATGAGCGTCACATGAATCAGAATAATAATAAACGTTAATCCGAGACGTGGAACCGACAATGGAAGATTTGAAGCTAGTTGGCTACAGACTCTTTTTTCTTGTATTTATCACAACATGAACTTGAGGTGTTGACAAGCCAAGAAATCCTGAAATTATTACAAGAACATCGAATGGTATCCACTGATAACAAACGAACACCTGCGACTCATTGTACCAACATATGCGACATAAGGCTTCTCCTGCCAACACGTATTCTTCCTAAAGATTAAAGTTGCGAGTTGTCTTGGAAACTGCATCAACGGACATAAATGAACACGGTGAGTTACGTGTAATCTTTTAGAAGCATTGTAGAGGACAAGCGTACAAAAACGAGGTGTAACAAATCTTTAAAATGACAAATATAACACCTTGCTGAAATCTCAGTAACCTTTGGGGATAGAGACTTCGCATTATGATGTATGAACATAATCTAAATTGGATGTGACGTAAAATTGAACACGCATCGCACAGTGCTTTGAACGCACTAATCACTTGCAAAATTACTTAAAGTGCTCTCGGCCATGCCTTCGTATTGAGACCAACGGCTTAACTGTACTCAGGAGGACGGTGCGACAACATGAATCAACATAAAAACACCTGCCTTTACATTTGGCAAATATGCTAGTCGTCTGATTGTATTTTTTTTACTATTTCTAATGAGAGGGTGCATAATTATCATGATACAATTCCATTAATTATCGTTCAGTAAATTTAAGGGGAAACGAAACGAAATAGCCTGTTTACTCGACCAATTTGGCGGTCGCCTGATTATACTTTGAAACTATTTTTAATGAGAGAGTGCATAATTATCATGACACAATTCAATTAGTTATCGTTCAGTAACCTTAAGGGGTTTTGCACTGACTCTCAGGTGCTCATTACCTGGCCCGTTACACCTGCCCAGGTAATTAATCACTTAGCAGACGACATCGAAAGTGAGAATTCGACTACATTTCTACATCCACTACTATAACTGAAATATACAAGCGATATATGATAAAAACACGTGATATACTTACGAATACACATACGGTAGGCCCTACTTACGCCTTACGACTTTACGTACAGTAATTATATATTTTTTTAAAGTATGTTGAAGTTAAAATGCGTTTGGTTGTTTAGGCATAATAGACGAACAGCAAGCGACAAAAATCTATTTTTATTCTCAATGTAAGCGTATTAATACATTCTTTCATATTCGTGGCAAAGAATAATAAAAATTGAGGTGTGAAAGGCAACACCGGATCATTAAATGATAGCCATAGCATATTGGACTGTCGCAGATATTTATTGTGTTAACGTCGGAAGGTCATTGCACTTGGAAGTGTTAACGCGTTACTCATTCACGTCAAGCGTTACAGTTACGTCAGTGTGACACCAATTAACGTACGTATTGATAGTCTTAGTTTCGACTGATGGTAGGGGGAGGGACAGTCATCGGTTAATTTTTATTTGACATTTCTGTTGATGTTTTAATTACGTCACAATCAAGCAATCAATCAATCTGTCAATCGATTGATCGATGTATTGATTGTTAAAATATTGCGCAGATAGGTTATAAGTTACAATAATGATAACAGACTAAGCTGTCTAATAAAATATACACTTTATTATGATTTACTGGTACCTATCTGAATTGCAATGTTGTTCAGAATCTCATCAATCTAGGATGTTAAATTCATGCACCGGACAAATTCGGTTCGGCTATACACATTCTCAATGTATATAATATCCACACGGTATATATACTAGATCAACCAGGATGCACGAGCAATAGGGGTTTTTCTCATGGATTTCAAATCTTTAAGTTAGAAACTATAAAACCTGCTATTGTTAAATATTAAATGAGAATCATTATTGTCAAATACTGGTACATTAGGTTTTCTAAATTTCTCCGGTTAATCGTTTCCCCTCGCCTTCCCTGAGAATCGAATTCGGGTTTCCATATTGGATATACAAACGTACTAAAGTACGAGAACACTAGCATGATCTACTGCATTTAGGCCTACGTATAATTTAAAAAAAATGTGTACAGAGGCCTAATTATTTACAAATTCTCCCTCCAATTCGAAGTCCTTACTTTTAAGACCGCTTTAATTTGAGCAAAGTTTTTCAAAGTACCAAATACCTCTTTACACTAACCTCACAGTCCTTTAAAACCAGAAAGTCCGGGGTAATAAAATGACCTATAATAACAAGACCACTTTTGGTGACTCAGATTTTCTCATTTCCCCCTTAATAATGTATAAGTCTATCTAGGTGCTATGCAGTTGTCCCAGTGGTTGCGATGCGGCTCTCAAACTTCGTTAAGGACCGCAGATCGGTTCGAACCATATATGTA